GGCTAGGAGAGTCCCTGAAACAGCATGCAAAATCCACCGTTCCCCTTCACACTTACAACTTAGTCTGTTTTCCACATCAACTGCAACATATTTTGAAAGAATACTTCAAGCAGATGCTGAGCACCTGAACCTGGCTTGCACGTTACCCCTGAACTGCACGACTGCTTCTGAACAGAGAAAAATCTATTGACGTGCTTCAGGTCAACTCTTCCAGCCACAATTCCCCACATCTGGTAGCTTGGGCTAGAAGAGAGGATCAAATCTGGCTCCAGTAGACTATAGAAATCCAATCAATTACGCCAGCCTTCTTCACCTCAGTCACCCTCAGGAACACTTACAGGTACTCTAAAAATCCCATAGGACAAAGCGGAGGTCATTCTGAAGTGGGAAGGAGATGCAGAGAGCAAAGTTCTCGAAGGCCATCCATTTTCCCTACCCGCAGAAGTGGGGGAAAGTAAACTAAATGAAACTAAACCAAAAACAACAATCCCCCCAAAACCAAGAAAAGGTATGGGACTCACAACCTCAATCTTTCCAATATCTTACCTTTCGCGCAAAGACTTCGGACTGGCTGTACCAAGTCTGTTCCTCTTTCCGATTGTAACTATAGTCATCAAATATATTCCCCTTCTGTGTATTCTCGCAGATCGGGTACAGAAAAGCTACAAGATTTCTGTATCCAGCTGCTAAGAGGCAAAGGACTGCTGAGCACTCTGAAAGAACCATTAGTCAGTTTAAAATAATGTCAAATTTCGGTTTTGCAAAAATAAGCCTTTGAATCACCTGAGAGGAACAGAGAGATCTTTAGAATAACTAATGGAAACGTGTTTTAAAACAAATATTCACCCGACAAGTCTGAAAATTAACACTGTGGCACTAAGCACTAACCTAGAAACCTTGAATAAGTGAAGCCCACTTATATGGCTAAATGTAAGAGAAACACAGGGAGAAAACCAAATTAATAACAACACTTATTAACTTTTATTTTTAGTGATACAGAGTGTCTTTCACACATTGCTTATGTGTAGAGTTCTGCTTGTAGTCTTCCGAAGAAATACAACAGCATTTCTCCCAGTTAAATCAAAGAAAATCTTCACCTCCTGGCAAGTAGTATATCCCTTTCTCTCAGTTGTCCAAGTTCCCCTGAAAACAAACAAAAAACCCCATGTTTATGTGTTTTAGAGAAAGAACTCAAGGCAGGTTTAAAGGACCGGCAGGAAGAGAAGGACACAGGGCAGAGGGACGGGCAACCCGCCTCCCGCTGCCACCCTCTCCGGACGGAGTTCCTCCCTCTCCCCGGCAAAAGACACCACGCGGGGTCTGCAGAGCTGCAGGAGTAGGACAGCGCTGTTTGCATGACCCATCCTTCATTATTTTGGTTCTCATCTAAGGGAGCAAGCTGAGCTCCCGAGATAAGGAATTAAAGCCTGAGACAGAGAACCAGATGGGAAGTTTGATGCTGGCTTCCGTAAGACTTCGCCGAGGGGTTTAGCAAAGCCGTGCTCCCGCGGCTACACGCTGAGCTAGCCGCTGCGCGTGTCTGGGGGGACGTGCTGGGCATCAGTGACGAGCTGAGCGACACAAAGGAAGAGTCATAAACGTCCAGGCAAACATCACCACCACCTTTACATCCTTACCCATCCACCACAGGCCTCAATGTAGCTTCTCACTTGCAAGTTTCCATTAATCGTTTTTGTGAGTTGGCTGGTACACACCATAGCTGGGACTTTCTTAGCAACATGCGTGAGCAATTTCACAGAAATAGAGAGAAAAGCTCTCTCGTACACCAGCTCGGGGTTCTGGACACACCAGCTCCTGCTGAGAGAGTCCACGGCAGCCCCAAACTTCTCCATCTGCAAGCATCGAGAGGACAGTCTGAGTTCTTCTTAAATGACAGTGTGATAAGTAAGTCTTGCTCAAAATCCAACATTCAGTTACATTGCTGTATTGCTGCTTCTACCTCTGACTGGAGCAGGTGACCCCACAGCTTCCTGGTGCTACCCATACTGCACAGGACACGCAAGGCAGGGCTCTCCTTCACTGCAGCTTGTACAAACCGCAGCAGCGGGAAGCGCGGCTGAAGGACTGGGGAGGGGAGCTGGTAGTCTAACCCGCGTCGCAACGAACCTGAAGCTATGACTGCCTGCAGCGCTTGCACCAGTGTGCTGGCACGAGAGCTCTGGCCGCAGGGCAGGCTGGAGCCAGATCACCTGCAGCAGGCTGGAGCACCCGCCCTGCCCCTCTCGCCACGGTCTTCCTCCTTTCCCCCTCTACACACCAGCTGCCCGCACCAGCTCCAGCCTGCAGAGCATCTGCAACGACAGGCTGGCCCAGGCAGCTCCAGGCTTTCTCAGGTGATAGAAAGCAGCTCCTTTGGAAGAGAGGAGGAGAATATGCAGCTCCCACAGTGCCTTGTCCGGCTTCTGTCCTGGCAGTTCGCACGCTGCCCACGACACAGAAGTGAAGGGAGGCCGCAGGGTACCACAGCCCCTCCCCTCAGACCCCCCCGACTCCTGCAGCGTAAGCTGTGCTGCTCCCAGGCTTTTGCTGTTCTCCGAGGACACAAGGCTGTTCTACAGACACAAGGCTGGCCTACAGACAAGGAGCTGGCCAGGCAGGACAAGGTGTGCTTTACCTTCCCCTCGAGCACTTCAGCAAGAGCTTCTGAGGAAACCTTTTCAAAATCCATGTTGCACCGGTCCCCTATCTGCCGCAGGCGACTGGCAACCACAACTGGGTCGAACTCGGTCAGAGGCTTTCCTGCAAACTGCACGGACCCTAGAGCAGAGAGAGCAGGGCGAGGGGTTTCAGCATAACGCATTAAAGGTGGAGAAAGAGAACACACGCTGACAGCCCAGCCTCTTTAGCTGCTTACTGCATCCGAAACGCTGCCTTCAGCAGGTACTAGAGCAGTTACTGCCTCGAGCACCCAGGAGGTTAACGCAGGGTGGCCTCTGGCAAGACACACTGGGAAATGTGAACCCAAAGTCCCTAAGAAATGTCACACGGCCGTTCAAGTATTCATTGATTTACAGGGACCAGCGGGCTCTGTACCATGGGCTTGTCCAGGTCTCTTTCCTCCCACCTTAGCTGCTTCATGCCCAAGTCTCAGTTCATCCCCACTCCTGTTTCTCCAAGGGCACCCCTAGGGCCCCTGTTCTCCCCATCCGTGTCCCGGCAGCCCTTCCCTCCCAGGCTGCCGTAAGCAAGCAAGGAAGGTCAGAAGACTCCGAAAACATCTCCTCTCTCTCTTCTGGCTGCAGTGACGCAGCAGCGTTGATCGGATGGCAAAGTCCTGCCTGCATTCCCACAGCATTTTGAGGCTGCAGATCACCGCATGCAGTTTTCGGAGAATTTAGACGTTATACTCAAGGTCTCTTCTGAGGAAGTGCAAATTGCAATGTTTCAAAGTCTCACAGTGACCCAAATTTGCAAAGATTTTCACAAAGAAGCAAAAGGCATACTTCACAAATTTCAAGTATATAAAACCATTAGAACTTCTCAGCTAAACTACTTAAAGGGGTGGGGAGGGGGGTGAGCACCTCAGTTAAAGCATTTTTCCCTTAAAGCATCCTGAGGAGAAAAAACCATAACAGAGTATTATTTATTTTTTTCTGAATGTTACCAAAACAAGGTTCATCCAGAAGGAGCTACCCGACGCTGAAAGTTTGAGCAAAACCATTTCCATGTTTGACAAAGTCATAAGGAACTGAAAGCAGGATCTTTCGACACAAAGTGGCGGGCAACTTTATGCGGAGCCATGTCGTCCGACCCCAGCTCCCCTCCCTCCTCCAGCCGCTAATTCCAGTTTAGCTCATCTCGCTCAGGTGCCAGCGCTCGGCACCTGCAGCCCGCGGCAGAAGCCAGTGTCTCCCGGGGTCTGGGGCAGCTTCTCAGCGCTCGGGACGGCGGAGGCAGAGGCACAGGTGTCTAATCCAGGAGAGGGAAACGAGCAATACGCTAACGGAAACTTTTTCTTTAGGCAAACCGGCAAACTTCCATGAAGCTTCTGAGAAATGGACTTTGCTAGCTATCTGGTGCCAGCAAGATCCCAGTGTCTCTTGGTACATTTTAACCCATTTGTCGACGAGAAAATAATGGTAAAAGCGATATGAAAGGCAATTATGGGTTTCTTGCAGCATTGCCCAGCAAACCAAAGGAGCCCAAATGATATTAGGAGTTTTGTGAAGCAAAGACCACATTCTGTCTTACATGTTAAAGCAACTGGTTTTATCCAATAAGCAGTATGAGCTTTCTTTTTGATAATGACAGTTAAAAATTCTCCCAGCCCGTTGGTTCAGAGCAAGTTTCTCAGGACCTGCGGAGCCGTGCAGGACACCTTCCCC